TTTTTTGTTTTTTTTAGTGTAATTGTTTTTTGTTCCTTTCTACCAATTGTTGGAGCAAAGTAGCATATACAACATTTTCTTAGACCTCTCAATATTATAGTTATACAAAGGAAATTTTGGTTGATTTTACAATAAGTATGCAAAAACTTTTACAAAACCCCCCAAAATAGATAAGAATTAAGTTCAACCTTTAATATCATCAACAAGATACTTTTTTAATATCAACCAAACCTTCCTATGTACGATTACAATATTGAGAGACCTACACACGTTGTGTTTATGTCGTTTTGTTCCAATGAGGTTCGGATAGATGTTTCATTTCATTCCGAACATATGATACCAAGAACAAAAGAAGTGTCTCATGTGTTATCTTAAACAATATAGAGAAAAGTACATGTATATAAATATATTTCAAATTATAAGTAAAATAATGTTTACCATACAAAAGATAACCATTAAATTGACGATGTGTAAAATTTTCAGAATGTTTTGATGACTGGTTTAAGAGAAACGTGTATTCAAAAAGTTCACCATATCGATACCACTCCTTTGAAGATGACTTAACCCCCTTCTGCTCCACTTTATTCATGAGCAAAAGGAGAAAGACAGAAATGATTGTTCAGAAGTATTTCTTATAATATTCCTTTTATATCTAAAAATGATTCTACAATAGATAAAGTTTGCATGTACCTCTGACTCTGAAGAAACTCCGAATGATTCCCCCTCCCCCCATTTCATTCAATTAATAAGGGAGAAGGACTGGTTTTTTCTCACTTATTCCAAAATCATTTTTTCAAATATCCCCTTTACCCATGTGCAGTTGAGCATAATTCAAAGGTTTGCGTGAGACCCCCACATGGGAAGTGGTGGAGGTTTTGACAAAATAATAAAGATTGAGCTATCAAACTCAAATCATGGGAGTAACCTATTGAGTCAACTTCCCCACCCTGGAAGCAATAATAGAGAGTCAAATATAGTGAAAATTCCTATTATTAAGAATATACTTTCGAAAGTCTCTACTCTCAGGACTCTTTGAATGGTGCATAATATTTGAGAATGTATAATGTACATGTTCACTAGGAAAATTCTAATTATGTCAAACTTTACATCGTGCACTCTATATTAATAGGCATTCTTAGCATGTACATTATTTTCTTTCGGCCCATATCTTTCAGCCAATAAATTCCCATCATCTAGGTCTATATATAAACATTGAAACAGGCTTTTGACCCAAGCAATTTGTGTTTTATGACATTTGTGAAACATATTCTTGAAGAAAATAATATACAAGGCAGGACATAAGTAGTCATCATAGAATTTCTGATCCAATAGTGCCACCTCCGCGTTCTTGTATTTCTAAGGGGTAGGGGTTAACAAAGCCATATTAAAAATACAAAACAGTACTTTATCATTACATTACTTACATTACAATATCACACATAGCTTGGAAATGATTTTTGAGTACTACTTGGAGCACTATAACTGCCTATTATTTCTCTGAAGCTGCAACAATAAAATCGGTAAGACTAAAAAGGGGTAAGGGGTAGGGGTCAACAAAGCCATATTAAAAATACAAAATAGTACTCAATCATTACATTCCTTATATTACAATGTCACACATAGCCTGGAAATGATTTTTGATTACTACTTGGAGCACTATTACTGACTACTATTTCTCTGAAGCTGCAAAAATAAGATTGGTGAAACTAAAAAGATAACGAAACTATGCTTTTTATTTTGATAAATTATATTTTCTCCCAAACCAATCAACATATCTCCCTATAACTTTGGGAAACACTTGACTACAGTGCTAGCAACATAATATCTATAAATCAGTGCTATAGTTAATGTATAACTGATTTTATAGAATGATAATATAGTACCCCCTGAAATATTATTCTAGGGGGGTAAAACTGCTCAGAATCCTTCGTCCACAAACTAAAAAGACCCAGACATATATGAATTGATGCTAAATGAAGTCATCTTTCAGAAACATTATGTCTATCAAGTGGCCCTTGAACTTCCCAAAACCCATGCTGTATCCTGGCCTATTATGATTTGACGATGAAGGTCTAGATCGTGTATTATTAATATAAGCCATCACACAGTGATCACAGTAACTTGATTAAGATCATATTTTAGTTAATCAGAACCAACTATGCATCAAATCATCTGAACCACATGACTTGGGAAATATTAATTGTACAGAGTCGCATAGACGTCATCGGAAATGATGGGGCTTAATAGATTAGTGCCACATTGTTTCCACTTTCCTATTTCATTTGCATGTTTTGTGTGCTCTTTGTTTCCTGAATGTATGGATTTTATTTGAATTTTAAGAATTCTTAGTTTGAATAGGCAATATGATGTAATAAGACACAAAGTGATAAATATCGCACGTTTGTCGAAAAATTCAAAATGGCGGCCACCGTAAAGTTATTTACCCAGCATACCTAAAACCTCATTAGATCTTGGCACTAGTTTGCTATTGCATCTTTGAAAAGTTCAAGTTGAGCAGATGGGCGATTTTCCTGGAAGATATGGCGCCCGCCTAGTAGAAGCACAAGACGACGACAATATAATAGCACTTTGAAAAAGTGCGACAAAGATAGCGAAGTGTGAACTTATACAAACAGAATGATTAACTTTAAATTTTTCTGATATTTTACATGTTTACTGTCCTCACTACTGGCTCCGTTCGGTGAGAGATTCTCACAATGAGATCCTGTATCATGAATCAGTTGCACTTTTACCGTCACTTTGTTTTAACTGGCGTTTGACCGAAAAGTAGGGTACTCTCAGTAATGTCCCTTTCAGTGGCTTTCACGCGTACCTTTAACTAAAAATACAACAATAAATCAATCATGGACTTGACTTGCGGGTTGCGAACGCATACTGTGTGCGAAACTGTGTGAAGGGGTTAACTACTACAAATCGAGTAGGTCTTGATAAAACATTTTCATATATTGGGGAAGACGTTTTCTTACCTTGTTCATGATAGCAGTTTAATAAACATGGATGGGTGCCGAAATGGGCGTCTCAGAATAAGTCCACGCTGTTAAGTGTATTCTTGCAGCGGTCCTATATTTAGGGGAGGCATCAAAAGTTCAATGTCTGATAGGAAACTAAATAAATCTAGTCAAGGGGCTCAACAGTCGTTTCAGTTTGCTATTCGACAAGTTCAATATTTCATTTTTTGCCCACGAAAGTCCAAAGACCACGAAAAGTCCGCGATCAACGTTCAAGGTATTAGTTTGGGGGAGGTCAAACTCAAAACTAGATTTTATTTGTTTCCTGTAATCAGACATTGAACTTTTGATGCCTCCCTTAGTAGATTTGATCGTGATTCGTGAATTAACTATAACTCTTGATCAAAATACATAGCATCGTTATATGGTTTTTTCATTTTTATTACACATTTAGAAGCAAAACATAAATAGTAAGGACTGTTGATAGAGGAATCAATCTCAGTTACGTACCGAACATTTAAATTAATTACGTTTTCTTATAATTCTCAACAGCACTGAGCGATTATCACGTACCACGATATTCTTGCGATTTAGTCTTGAAAACAACTTTCTATTTTGCTCAATGTGAAAACGTAACTGTAAAGATGTCATATTCCCATCCATAATAGTCCTTACATGACATACAAATACAAATACTACGCACTGCTAGGATATTAAAAACAACAAAATTTGCTCTGACAGTAACAGATTGCTCAATTATTTTTGTAAAAAGAATGTCATTCAACCTGTTACTTTACACAACGATGCTACTATTGAAGCAGCCTCGCTCAGAGCAACACTAATAAAATATGTTATAGAACTTTACATAAGAGACCATTTCTCATGGGGCCTTCTCAAAATGTGATATAGAACTTTACACAAGAGACCCTTTTTCATGAGGTCTTCTCAAAATGTGATATAGAACTTTACCATTTCTCATGGTGATATTAAACAAAATACAATCATTAAGTTAGAATAATTAAATTCTATGACAAGAATTATTGTGTAATGTACATACAACCACATATTTCTATGTTCAGACGTAATGCTAGATATGTACATTCACATATTAATTTACCCTGGCCTAACTGCGTTTAGTACATGTTTATTAAAGAAACTCCAACTGCTGTGTGAACTGTACTCTTTACATGCAATTGGTTATATACTGTATATCAATAAATAATCACATTGAAAATGTATAGAATACAATTTGAACGTCTGTGCACCTAGAATTGCCATCGCCTTAAGTTTTTTGAAAGAATCTATTGTACTGTTCCTTTACATCTTAAAACGATTTTCTGGATCAATAATCACATTAATCACGTGTTCTGCCATGTACACCCCTCAAAAAGCTTGGCAACCCTGACTTCATATTGATAAGTATGTTAAAGCCTAGTCTTGCTTCAAATCCCCCCCCCCTTCCCCTATTTCAACAACAAAGTAGAAGTAGATAAAGGAGGGATCCAGGGTCTTGAAGCAAAACTAGTTCAAGGCGGTTTATTCTTAGTTTGATTGTTTCCTCAATTATGTTAAGTGAGATAAGTTTCACATTTATCACTAAAATATTTTTCAAATCGCCAAACATGAAACTTATTTCACAACTCGTACAAAATTAAAATTTGGGTTTCCAAACTTTTGGAGGGAATTGTAAATGTATATTCTTGTGTAAAGCGAACACAAATATTAGGTTAAAGTGAAACATTAGCTGCTTTAGAAAAACAATGAAAAAGGTTTCCACAAAAAAAGTTTACATTTCAGGCCTATCATTTGTTGACACTAAAAATATTAGTTCTGGCTATTTAAAGTTCAAGCTATATCGTTTTTCAACCACATTATGCCGTGGTCACATTTGCTCCGATTTTCAGCACCGGCGACCGGCCGATGAATATTTTATTCAAAATTGAATACAATTTTGAACAAAATACTCAATCGGCCGGGCGCTGTAGTAAAAATCGGAGCAAATGTGACCACGGCATTACTTGAAATGATTTCGTGATCACTAAAGTACAATCGGGTATAAATTGATAATTTGAACTTTTCACCTGCTAGCCAGTCTAGGGAATGAAAGAAATATCATGGGCTTCCTAAAAAGCCCATTGAATTTTACAATTGACTTAAAAAATACAAGTACAACCGTAGTGGTTAATATAAGTTTAGCCTTTGTGATTCTAAATCCCGGGTCTTATGAAATGTCATTTCATAAGTTTCTCAGTTTGCTTTTGTAATTCAAAAATCGTTCATTAATTGTTACCTTTGGAAACATTCGCCTTTTTGGAACAAAAGGTGTCGTAATTTCTCTTTTGCAGCTTTTCTACAAAGCGGCCTGAATTTAATATTCATATTGCAAATCAAGCAAGAATCAGGAGTAAACGTAATTCTCAAGCGTTGTACCATCTGACAAATTGATTACATCTCGAAACATCTGTCTCGGTGTTAAAAATACGTAAACTGTAAATTATCATTCCATATTTATCTGAGACCAAAAAATGATGGACTCTATATATGACAAGTGTGTGTTTACCAATATGTGCGATTGAAATTTAAATTGTTTAATCAAATTGAAAAGTTCCTTATTCAACTGAGGTTTACCAATATTGTAATTCTTACTCTACATGCAGTATTTTATGCCTAATCTAGTCTCTTGTGGTGCAGAGCTTTTTCATCCAGTAGAAAAGCCTCCTTTGCTTTTACCTTCTCGAACCTCTTCTCACGTCGTTTCTTGTCATAGTCCATTAAGAATGTTGACTTCTCTCCGCCTGCTAGTAGACCAGGGCAGTTTGTCCCAAATACCCAATCCCAGTGTGTGTAGAACGGCGCAAAGTTGGTCAGCGGGCGCTGGTGGTGCATGTCATGCTTGATTGAACCGCCCCAGCCGTAGAACCAATGGTGCGGCATAAACCAGAAGTCGTAGCCGATATGCGCCTCCACAGACACAATGATACTGACGAGCATGAAGCTCCACCAGGTAAGAGGATGGGCCTTGAAGATCCATGGGGACGTCGTTGTGAACACTCCCACTGAGATCAGCTCCCATGGATGCAAGTATTGGGTAACCCAAGAGAACGGACTGTGGTATTGGTGGTGGATAGAGTGTACCCAGCGGTACAACGGCCGGATCTTATGATGAACGGAATGCCAGACGAAGTATTCGAAATCAAATATCATCAGTGATGCGTACTGGTGCCAGAAAAATTCCCAGACGGTTGGAGCCTCGGAAGGAAAATCGGTTGCTGGCTGCCAGATCCATTGGGCCACGGATATTGGAAGAATGAAGATCATGTGATTCCAGAACGTCACCCAAACAGCTTGCTTCACCAATGGCCACGTGACCGACTTGGTTGGTTGAATCTTAAATTTCTGGATCCACTTCCAGTCCTGGCCGTATATGTCGAATATTGTCCAGGGAAATGTCACACAGAAGTAGAATGTGACTGACAGTATCACCGGGAAAATCGGAGAGGTCAGATACCATTCGTATCCGATCCTTAAATCCCAAAGCGGCTGTAGCAATAGCCCTGATGGTTGAAATTTGTCAGATGCATTTTTCTGCGAGTCTTTTATTTTCTCCAGTACTGTTTCCATTATTCGTGTCGCATACAAACAAGACAAAGAATCACACCGTCAGGCAATCGATATCTATGCCTATTTTTCTTTCTTGTAATTGTATTTATACTGTAATATGTCCAATTGATAGAAGCTGATTGGTAGCCAGCCTGCGTTCGCGGCAGATGATGTTCCCTTTCAATTTATATCACTCGCGAAAATATTTTATTGGTATGTGACAGGGAGATAAATCAAAGGAACTCGAAAACTCCCACTCTGCATTCCTCCTTCTTGGTCCCTGCCTGTCAGGACTCTCTCATTACATGTGTACTTTCTTTAGCATTCAGTCTGACAGTTACCAGCCAATCCTGAGTGCAATTGGATTGCGCATGTCCCTTGCAACTGATATTATACCCATTTCAGTACGTACGTACCCAAACATAAGTACAGCTGTAAATGTAAGTGATGTTGTTGTTTAAGAGTAGTTTATCTGCACTTTTGAGCTATCGGTACGCCTGTACTGTCTAGTGCAAGTGAACCATCAGTACAGTGCTCTAGTTTGTATTTTGCCTCGAAGCCAAGAGTTGAAAAAGTGCTAGGTCTGCGTGACCTTCGTTTTGGAACTGAGTCATATGAATAGGGCTTACAATATGCCTTTGTTTAGGTTATCGATGGGATCCAATATAGTTCTATAATCTTATGAGGTATTCGATCAGGCCATATCCCAAGTGCGTGTATTGTTTAATTCCGGTACAAACCACGTGGATCAGAAGTAAACAATACCACGTGTGTAAACAAAGCCTGTACGTGTGATGCAAGCCAGTGAATGTGTGTCGAAGATGTGTGTGGGTTCCCCCCGGGGTTCCCTAGCCCCCGGGGTTCACTGTATATGATTTTGGCAGGGATCCTAGGCTGAATCCTCAGATATCAATATGTTCCCATACCAATCCGTCAAATTCCAATGTGTTCTCATACGCTAACCAAGATAACGACCAAACGCCATACCAAATGCCCAAAATCACGCCAAATGTCCAGATATAAGACCAATGCCATACCAAATGTCTAATTAAAGGACCAATGCCATACCAAAGGTCCAAAGTAGAAAAAAGCATATTCAAACCGAAGAAGGCCATGAGAAGAAGGCAGATCATAAGGATATATATAACTACTGGCCAATTCCACATTCCACGACCATAATTTTCTTATACCAGAAAGTGGAAAAATCTGAAAATTGCCATCCCGGTGTAAAAGGGTAGGAGGTCCTATTAATTTATGGTCCTACTCTCCATTGATTTATATGGTGACCTCTTTGTGCTCTTTCCCTTATTATCTTATACCCAATCAGTGCCAGAAAGGGCCTTTAAGAGGGGGGAGCATTATCCCTGGGGGACCATAATATCTTTCACACCGGGATTGCCATAGCTCATGTCATAAATTTGTGGGGCATTCTCATACCAGATCTTAAAATCTGGGACCACTGCCATACCAAAATCAAAAAGGTGCCCCATGTGTGCCGAGGATCACCGTCAAGGTCCCAGGCCCTAGCCCCTTCATTCGGTTATTGCGCAAGACTATCCTTGTATTCACGAATGCAACTTTTGGCTGCCGGCTGCCCCGGATTAACCTACAGTGTATATAAGGGTTATGTACTGGGAGGTTTTGGATATAGGGTATATCCTGAGGGATATATTTATATCTCCACGAGGGACGGAAGGGACCAAGGGGAGATATAAATATTTCCCGAGGGATATACCCTATATCCAAAACCGACCGTACATAACTGGTGTACATTTTCGTAATATTCTTTTTGTTCAATACAATGAAATTGTAACATTTAAACTTTAAAAAATTTTAAAATTTTAAAAAATTATGATTTTTAAACTTTTTTAAACTTTTGAAAAATTCCCGGGAGCGGGATGGATATATTATATCTGCCCGCATTTGGCTTGGAACGGGACATATACAATATATCCTGCCCGCTCCTCATATATGATATATATTCCCGGGTGATATCTACCCCAAACCCACTTAAGTATGAGATACACAATTTTATGATCAACTCATCAAATGATCAAATATGAATTGAATAGTGGCAGGTATACTATTCATATTTAAATGAGTTGCCCACAAAATAGTAGGTTAATCCGGTAGACGATTTGCATTGATTCTTTCTCTATTTGCAACTTTCGACTGGATACATATCGCGATTCAAGCTATCTAGATTTTTGTAATCGTTCGCTAACAGAATATTATAGTTTCTATCAAGGAGGATTGGCTCCCAGGATCGAAACTCGATATTTTCCAACAATGAAAACGTCGAAATGTCGTTATTTTCTGAAATTAAAACCGACTATAAATTCAAAATAAACAGTTCAAAAGATTCGAACCAATATCTCGATCATTTCTTGTGAGTTTTGGAATTTTTCGTTTGGAAATAAGACCAAAATTCACGATTTAAATATTGAAGTGAACAAAATGGCGGCTGTTTGAATTCGAATTTTGTATTACGACATACCCATATATGGGACAGAATATCGGTGGTGCACTCTGGGAGCCAATCCTCCTTGGTTTCTATATAGCTGAATAAACAAATGAAAACTAGTGCTGCCATCTTTTATTCAGTTTTTTATTTTGTCCAGACTGTCATATATACATGTAGACGTGTTACGATCTTGGAATAGTGACTTAATTGAGTTAATTCCATGACGTATCATAAAGTATTGGTTGAATATGTCTAAAACTTGATTGGTATGAACAAAGATATTTTGTAAGCTACAGTTAAGTGATGAATGCAACTTTGAGAATCTATCAGAATAAAAAGCGTTGTTTGACTTTATACCGATCCAAATAGACATTTGTACAGAAAGACGTTTTATAGATCTGACACAAAGACTCTTTTTACAAGAATGATAAGATCAAAGAAAAATTTCTCATGAAAATGAAACATACATCAGCAAAGACGTGTTGAAAGCGCGATGTTGTGAATGCGATTTTGAGTACATATAAAATTATACTTGAACAGAAAGCTTCGTATGACTATCTCCTAAACAATGGAGACATATATGAGATGTTATATATAATAATAAGAGCTATTTGATCACGGTTCACAAAATGTAACATACGTTATCTAGATTTTCTGTTTAATTCGGAGGAGAATGTATATTTTTGTTGATATCAGCCTATTTCCTTGTTTTGAAATGATATGTATCCATGATCGAAATACAAAAAAATACGTAGCTAGACTGGAAAGTAATTGTTATGTATCATGATGACAACAAAATAAGGACAATTTTAATAAAGTCGGTACTAAAAATAAAAGTTCATATTTTTGAAGAAAAATGTCTTCATTATTTTCCAAACGGGTAAAGTTTATGCAATATGTGTCTAAAATGTTAAATCAAAGCAAAGTTGATCGTTGAACTTTTAATTCTAAAACCGTGTATATATGTTCCACTGTCTTGAAACATTCGTTACATTTAACATGCCTCCAAAAATTTAAATAATTAAAAAAACTAACTCAATATTTCAGAAAGTGTAAACAAAAAAGTAAAATAGTCATATTTAGCGACATTTTTGTGACACATTTATCAATTAAAGTCATTGTATTTCTAAATTTCCAGGGAATGTATATAGCTAGCTTTCCAGGAACACTTTTCTTTCTCAAGTTTTGTTTCTTGTGCATTTTAATTTCTTTCTTTTGCTGAAGTTATATTAAATAGATTACCAAAAGTTTTCGTTTGGTAAACCAGAGTAACATTTTCTCCATCATTTACAAGTCGGAGTTTCTTCCACACATCAAAGTGTCATTCGCAAAAGAGAGAAATTGAATGATAACCTGTTAGTAACGGATGTTTTTTGGCCCAAAATTAGACAAAGAAAGATCAAATTCAATTAACCATAACTTTTAAATTAAAAGTTAACTTGAAACAATTTTGAGATTGCATACTACATTCATATTGTTACATTATCAACCGGAACTTAAACTCTTTGAAGGAAGTTTATTTTTATCAAATTCCAAAGGCTAATTGCACGGTTTTATTGAGCCTGGGCGAAAATGGCCTAATGTACATGTGATTAAGCCTAATCATGAAAATTTGTAAACCCGGTGTAAAAGGGTAGGTGGTCCTATCAAATTTTGGTCCTACCCTCTATTGAGTCTTATGGTGACCTAATCACAATTATTTTCCTTATTATTTATACAAAGTCAGGGCCAGTGAGGGCAGTAAGGAAAGGGGGCCATAATCCCCAGAGGACCATAATTTCTTTTAGACCTCGTGAAATTGCATGAATGAAGATTTGGCCGAAGTTTTTTTTTAAAGTTGAGAGTCGTGGAAAATGATTATTCGTTATCGTTTTACATCGTTGCTCAGAATCGGAGAGACCATTCGGGATTGTGTTTGGGACCAGTGGAATTCGGACCATTGCGATTCGTAGCCAGGAGGAGGGATCGTGGAGTTTCGAATCGGATGAACCCATCCCTGCCTCCTAGTCACTGCCAAAAGTTCTTAAAAAATCATGCAGTTTTCCACTATCCTTATATGTTACGTGACATGGGCGTATGTGAAGGCCCAAGTATTCTTGGCTACCCATCTATTCTGACTCTTGCCGAAGTATTCTGACCCGACCCAAGTATTCTGAGTTTATTTTTAGACTCCAGATTGAAAATCTGGAGTCTATTGCTTTTGCCGGTTTTCTTATTATTATTATTATTATTCTTTCTCTCTTGTCACGTTTTCTCGGTAACTAGAAGGACTTACTTAAATCTGCTAACACAGTCAACTAGGTAATGAGGCCTAGTTTCTGGAAAATTAGGTCAACTTTTTATCTAGGTCAAAGGTCAAGAACTAGGTCAAATCGTGGTTTTTCACTATTTTACAAGTTTTCTCAGTCGTCCTTCGGTATTTTCACTCCGGGTTTTTTTCATCATGTTCCTTAGAAAAAGCTTATTACGAATGGTAAACCGTTTTTTGATTACTCTTACCGATTTTGAGATATGGTGTCCGAAAAGTAGGTCAGAACATAAAAAGTTCTCCAAATTCAACGTGTGAATCATCAAATAAGTGTAGAATTATCTCAGGAATCCGAATCTGCAAACAAAATTTCGATCCGACTTCCGGTTCGGAAGTTATTGCGTTTTGAAATCTCAAAAATCGCTAAATTTGGTGCCCATGTTAAGCCAATGGGAAAAAAGACTTTTTCGAAGTGTAAAATACAAGATATAGACTGAGTACAGCTTAACATAATGAATGCCTAGAAAAGAAGGGGACCTCAAAAGCTACATAGCTTCAAAATTT